CAAAGAATGTGCTTGTCCTGTAGATCAAATAGATTCTCGAGAAGAAAGAATACGTAGAAGATCAATTAAAAAAGAATTAGTGACAGTTAATGATATTGAAAAATTGAATCTGAATGAAAAAAAAGGGAAGAAAAGGAAGAGAGATCAAGAGGAAGAAGAAAAACAAGGTGATAAACATGAGAAAGGAGAAAAAGACGATGAAAACGAAAAAGAAATTGATAATAACTTAAATTGTAATGAAACTGAGACAATATCAATTTCTACTAAGAAAAATGCATTTTTCTTAAAAGAATGTAAAAATATAGGCATACAAGTTCAAAGTGATTTAATGATCCTAAAATTCTCCTCTTTAATTACATCAAAAGAAGAATTAAGTACACTAACTGGTATTCCTACTTTTGAAGTATTAAATTTACTTGAAGAATTAGTCGTAACCGTACGACCAAAACACAAAACATCTTCAAGATTTGACTTGCGAGAAATGATTTTGATGACTTGTATGAAGCTAAAGCAGAATTTATCTTACACTGTATTAGCAATTTTATTTAAATGCTCTAAAGATACCTGTAAAGATATTATTTTTGATATGATAAATAATTTAAATCTGTGTTTGAAACCTGTTATCTATTGGCCAACAAAGTATAATATTTTAAAAAATATGCCGGGATGTTTTAGAGGCTTCGAAAATGTTCGCGTCGTTATTGACTTTACTGAGATTCGCATCCAGAGACCTTCAAAATTATGTTGCCAATTACAAACTTACTCATATTATGAAAGTACGTACACTGTAAAGTTTATGACTGGCATGACACCAGCTGGATTAATTTCTTTTGTAAGCAAACCTTACGGTGGACGCGTTTCTAATAATATGATTTTCGAGCAAAGTAACTTGTTAAAAAAAATGGATAAAAAAGATGCATTATTGGCAGACAAGGGATTCACTGTTGATAATCTTTGTAAACAACATGACGTGACTTTTGTATCACCATTATTTATTGGAGATAAAACTCAGTTCTCTAAGACTGAAACATTATTAAATCACAATATTGCTAGAGCTCGCGTTCCTATTGAACGCAGTAATCAGCGATTGAAGTGTTTTAATATCTTAAGCAACACAATGCCAATGTGTCTTCTCAGTAAAGTTGAAGAAATTTTTAATGTTACCTGCGGTCTAGTAAATTTGAGTGCACCAATACTAGAAAATGATAAGTTTTTTTCTTAAACTACGAGGAATTCATTTATAATAAGTACTTTATTTTATATTATTTATTACATCTCAGAACGTCAACAAACTTTAATTTATGAACTTTTTAACTTTTATAAATTACATAATAGATAAAACATTTAAGAAAAGTAAAAATTTGTCAATCTTGTTTTTGTTTATCACCGTGTTTACATATTACATGAACCATTTTATTAAAATAAATTTTTTTTTAAGGAATATAATAAATTTTCAGCGTACTTTATATCGAAGCTGATAGGTATTATAAGCAATTTATTGTCGAATGGAATATAAATTAAAAAATCAGTTGTGTGGGCAGATTTAATAAAGCCATACCTATTTGTATTTGAGCATAGTAGAGGTGTTGTTTTTTCAAAGTTAATTGGTTGTTTACAGTCACGAGATACTGTAAAGATGGAATAACTTCTTCTAAGGTTTTTTTTTTACCATTGTAAGGACATTTTATTTCAATCATTTTTATAGGTTTAAGATCATCAAACACAATGCCATCAGGTGAACTACCGAGCCAAGAATTATTATGTGCTACAACGAGACCACATTCAACAACTTTACAATTAATATATTTTTCATATAATTCACGAGTTATGAGTTTATTAATTAAGCCATATTTAGTATAACAGTTAGATATTGCGGTTGGATAAAAATATTGTAATGATTTCTGCTCCCAATCGGACTTTTTATTATTTCTATAAGTAAATAGCTTGTAAGTTGGATCACTGCCTGTGATCCTAAATTGTCTTTCTTTCTTCCACACAGAATAAAATTCAGCAGTTTCTTTGCAAATCATTTGAACATTTCCATTTAATTGGTCGAGTATTTTTTTGCAACAATCTTGAAGAGGATTAACAGTAATTTTTGCTAGTTCATCGAGAAAAGTTGAAGATTTCTAATTAGTAAAAATAGCTTGAATTTCTTCTAAGCAAATTAAAGAGTTACTATTATTGTTTGAAATTTGGATAGCTTCATGTCTTCCAATTCTGAAAATAAAAAATACAGAGAAGAATATAATAGAATGAAAACACTAAATCATTGAAATTTCAAAATAATTTATTAGTAATAGTTTCTTATTAAATTTGACAAAAAATCGTACTTAGAAGGTAAAAATTAATTGACGTAATAGTTTATTATCAACGTCGTAAAATCATGCCGATTAAGATGGGCTGGTCACGTGGCGTGCATGGGAGAGGATCGAATGGCGCACAAAATATTGGTCGGTATACCAAACGGAAAAAGACCACTAGGTAGACCGAGACGTAGATGGGAGGATAATATTAGAAGGGACCTAAAATAAATAGGATACGAAGACCGTGAATGGAAGAATAATAGTTTAATATGTTTTGTATAAAAAAAATGATTGTTTTGTATAATAACTTATCAAATTAAAAAAAAAAAAATGTATAAATAAAACAATAGCAATTCGAAGATTAAAATATGTAAATAATAGAAATTGATAATGTAGATTATTCCAAAAATTGATTTTTCATTGTTATTAATTAATTTATTAATAACCAATATAAAATATATACCATTATTTAAACATTTTCTCAATTCATTAATTTGCTTGTTCGTCAAATTTTAAATAAATAATTTAATAAGCAATAATTACATAAATCTGTTTATAATTTCAGGTATGTACAAATGATTGTACAGCCGGCGACCTAAAAGACATTTAAAATCTAAGCACGAGCCTAGTGCAGTGCTGTCAGATCGTGGGTAAATCTTACCCTCTCCCTGTGCCACTGGGATTGCACACAATGAAAGTTTTCCATGTCCGTGTG